TTACAAATAATCTCTTCCACTCGCTCCTCAAACGAAGTGAAGGGAACTGCAAGAAAAGAGGCATCCATGTTGGCGTCGTGCGGAAAAAGCGCCATCCTCGGTACCGAGCCAACCTGATGAGCTGTGACTGGGTGCTAAGGCTGGCTCTGCGCTGACGATGCCGACTGGGATGACAGGGTAACATGTGGGAATGCACCAAATAAATAATCTGAGGGTAGAACTTAACATGTCTTCTCGGGCAGGAGATTGTGCTGCGAAACAAGGCTATGGCAACTTGAAGAAAATTGAATTAAGTAAAAGGACACGAAAGAGGAGAATAGAAAATTTCATCATTTGAATTCGCGTAAACTGATCTGGTGAAATGTTTACCGTAGCAACTACCGGAAAGGATGCAGGAATGTGTAAATGCATCAATGTTCCTCTGTCATCTCGTCCAAGCTGCCAGAACAGGGTAAAACGAATATATATATGACTCTGTGTGTGTGTCAGAACACCGAAGTTTGTAAAGTCAAAAGGGACGCAGTCTCCTGCACTTCAGGTTGCCCAGGCAAGTTGGTTTTGTTGGATTGTCATTTTGCCACGACTGAATGACTGATGTAATTGACTGGACGCTTGTCAACAAGCTCCTGCTCGGACGTCTGGTTTATCTGAATTGGTTTCGACGCTATTGTTGGAGACGACTGTTGGGTTGGTGGGCAAACAAGTTGATAAAAATAGCTTGACTACACGATGCATTGATGAGTAGGTGGGATTTTTCAATCGAGGGTGGTCTTCACTTGTTGTGAAGACGTTTATTTTGTGTGCAAGTGCCTAATAAAGACATTTGTAGGTCTAGCTCACCAGAAAGAGACGACTGATTGCAATTGTTTTGCGATCGTTTGTATAGACAAAAAGCGATACATGTTGCCTCGTCTTTGGGAACAAACTGGCCGAGCTTTTGTCCTTTGTGCCGCCTCGCAGACATCTTCAAAACTGTAATTCTTCCTTCAAAGATTCAAGTTACCACTGGCCAGGTCTGCCCTACAAATTAAAAACCCTCATAAATATAAATGAAAATTTGTAAATAAGATAGTTTGATATATAATCATTTATTTAGTCCTCTAGCATATTACACTTGAGTTTGTGTATGTGTGCGCCAGCTTCCATACCTGTCTGAGTCAGAGTTTGAGGAGATGAAGGATCAGATAAGTAGGTCTTTCGTTTCAATCAACTGTCACATATCCCAGCTTCAAAAAGGTAATCTCACCCAGTCCAGAATCACTTTAAATGAAATGCCGGTCATAAATCATGTCTCGTTGAAGAGTTGTAACTTGATGCTGTGAATAGCAAGACTGGCTGACGATGCCGGTGAAGCCTCTGGGAATGTACCAAATTCACGGTCAAATGATGAGAATTATGAGAGCAATCACATCAGAAGACTTTGGACAAGGTGCGTCCAAATAAGTCGCCCTGACAACACAATTAAGTTGTGAAAACGAGGCCGGACCATTACTGTACATCGAAAGGAGACTGCGAATAAAATAGAGGCCACAACATCTTGGTCTTCATATCTACGTTTGATAATCGTTGAGATTACCTCAGAAACAGCGTCAGCATGAATCTTCCAGTTGAGCCAATCGACAGCTGGTCGAGAGGAATG